TTGTAGTTGTAGTAGTAGTAGTAGTAGTAGTTGTTGTTGTTGTTGTTGTTGTAGCTGTAGTTGTTGTGTAGTTGTAGTTGTTGTGTAGTGTAGTTGTAGTAGTTGTTGTTGTAGTAGTTGTAGTTGTAGTTGTAGTTGTTGTTGTTGCTGTTGTTGTTGTTGCTGTTGTTGTTGTAGTAGCTGTAGTTGTTGTAGTTGTAGTTCTAGTTGTAGTTGTTGTGTAGTTGTTGTAGTTGTTGTAGTTGTAGTAGTTGTTGTTGTTGTTGCTGTTGCTGTTGGTGTTGTCGTCGAGGTTAGTGTAGTTAAGTTAGTGAAGTTAGTTAAGTTAGTCAAGTGAGTTAAGTTAATCAGTGTCTACTTTTTCGACATCTTCACGTCAAAAAAGGCTCAAACCCTCAGTTTTTTACACGTTTGACTTCGAAAATGTGCTTCGCGCCACAACGGCGTGCACTTTTTCGACACTTTTTCGACATCTGAACCTCCAAAAGTGGTCCGAGACCGTCAGTTTTTAACACTTTTGACTTGGAAATGTGCTTCGCGCCACAACGGCGTGCACTTTTTCGACATCTCAACTTCCAAAAGTGGTCCGAAGCTGAGGTGTGTTGTACATATTGACTTGGAAATGTGCTTCGTGCCACAACGGCGTGCACTTTTTCGACATCGCAACTTCCAAAAGTGGTCCGAGAATGGTGTGTTTTGTACATTTTGACTTGGAAATATGCTTCGCGCCACAACGGCGTGCACTTTTTCGACATCGCAACTTCCAAAAGTCGTCCGACGCTGAAGTGTTTTGTACCTTTTGACTTGGAAATGTGCTTCGCGCCACAACGGCGTGCAATTTTTCATCGCTCCTGTGACCAGCTGGCCTACTTTACGACCCTCCTGAGCCACAAATCATTGGAAAAACACAGTGTTTCGCGACTTTCCTACCTTTTCGCGCATCTGTATCTTCTTTCTTCTGACTCTTTCTCTTCTCATCTTCTCTCTTCTAATCTTCCTCTTCTCTCTGCCTCTCCCCTACTCTGCTTTTCATCTGTCCATATTGTCGGAAGTTTGACTTCTAAACTTCCTTCGATGACTAGCATAGCCATGGAAAATGGCCCATTTATGCCCATTTATAGATGGTTTACCTATTAAAAATACTGATTTTCCATGGCTATGTTAAATAACCAGAGGGTATAGTTTCAATCCAACATCCATTTTTTTTGCGGAAATATCTGTGATGATCATGATTGCAATCCACATATGGATTTTGGGTGGAATGGAAGCAGTCTAAACATGTGCAAAAAAAACAATTTTTCGGAGCCTGAGAAATTGTTTTTCTGCAAAGCCCAATTTCATCCCGTAAGACAATATAAGGGGTCACGCCAAAAAAATGCACCGCTAAAGGGAATTGCAAACCTCACGTACAAGCAGTAATTTAAGAATTTGGCAATCCTACTCCAGGGTCCCTCAAATTCTTAAAGTACTATGTGTTTGGTATACCTGAAAATATGTAGCCGGCCTTGGATTCGAGCCCCTCAAATTCTTATACAGTGAATTCTTGTACAATACTCAAGCTGTATACACATCTTCGGTGGTGCCAAGAAATCAGTTCCTGGATGCTCATCAGAAGATGGGGCTCGTTGGGCGACCACTGCTGCAGCTCAAAACGTAGCAATCTTCTGCTATGAAACTGCAGAGCTGGCTTTTTCTGATGAGTCGGTGCGCTTCCAGCTCATGGTCACAAGTGGATTTCCCATTGCCATTCGTCAGTTCCGTGCGAATTTTGTTGCTCCGTGGTTGAAATCATTCAACAGCCTGACTGTGCTCCATTTGATGGGATAGCAGTTTTCGTGCGCAAGGGAGTTTCATTGCAGCAAATGAACACAGCGCCGTATGGGCCAGCAAACACAATTGCACATGGACCTATTCCTGGAGGAGGACCTGGACCAGCAGCAGCATTGGTGGCGAATTGGCCACCTGCTGCGCTTGAGCATTTGCTAGGCCGTCAAGCTCTTGTTCAACAGATGCAACATTTTTTTTTTGCATCCATTTTTTTTTGCAAAGCCGGGCTTGTCTGAGTTTCATGAGAGCAGTACGGAAAAAAAAACAATTTTTTAGAGCCTGAAAAATTGTTTTTTTGCAAAGCCATGCTTGCATGAATTTTATAAGGTTAGTGCGCAAAAAGACACTTTTTTGGAGCCTGAAAAATTTTTTTTTTTGCAAAGCCGAGCTTCTCTGAGTTTCATCAGAGCAGTGTCGAAAAAACAATTTTTAGAGCCTGAACAGTTGTTTTTTTGCAAAGCCATGCTTGTATGAATTTTATAAGGTTAGTGCGCAAAAAAAAATTGGAGCCTGAAAATTGTTTTTCTGCAGAGCCCTGTTTGTGGCTAACTTTCTTGGCTATTCTAGCTATATATTGTTGTTGTTTAGTCCCTTATTTTTGGTCAAATGGCTAAAGACTGCCTAGCTTAGTCTGCAGTGCGTTGGGCTTCGGCGTCAGCGTCGCGGGCTCGATTCCCGGCGCGGCGCTTTTCGCCGAGGTATTGGGTAAACAATACTCCAGGTCCGATTGTGAGCAGTCCAAGCATGCGCGAAAAAAATAATCGGAGCTTGAAAAAATTGATTTTCTGCAAAGCCTCCGTTTTCTTCAAGCTATTGAGGAAAACACGTTTCAGGTCCCCAGGCCTATCCACATATGGATTTTGGGTGGAATGGAAGCAGTCCAAACATGTGCAAAAAAAACAATTTTTCGGAACCTGAGAAATTGTTTTTCTGCAAAGCCCAATTTCATCCCGTAAGACAATATAAGGGGTCACGCCAAAAAAATGCACCGCTAAAGGGAATTGCAAACCTCACGTATAAGCAGTAATTTAAGAATTTGGCAATCCTACTCCAGGGTCCCTCAAATTCTTAAAGTACTATGTGTTTGGTATACCTGAAAATATGTAGCCCGCCTTGGATTCGAGCCCCTCAAATTCTTATACAGTGAATTCTTGTACAATACTCAAGCTGTAGTACTTGTGTCATAGATATTTCCTACAATTCCTATATTAATTCATGATTGGAATCTACTATATTGGAATCCATGAGTGTATGTACTATCCATTGTGGGTATATTATATGGAATTTCGGATTTCAATCACATAAAATAGGATTCCTGCAATATACTGTGATGATCATGATTGGAATTCCATATATTAATTCATGATTGTTGTGTAAAGATTAATCCTATATACAGGATCAGTAATACATGTATATAATACACAATCTAATATACTATATAATGTCAAAAAATCCATGATGTAGTCGCATGTATTAATACGTACATATACTAATGGAGATTCATATATGGTAAATCAGCACTTCTGTGTATATTAACGTATTAATACATGCGACTACAGTATGGAATTTGTTGCCCTGCCAGGATATTCAGCTCTTCCTGGCCGGCAAGTCGTTGAAGTATTGCACCTCGCCGGGAAGAAACAATGCAGCCACGTTCAAACGCTGTTTGCGTAGGCGAAAGATGGCAGAAAGAACTCCAATAAAAATGGGATATACATGGATATAACCTGATATAAACTTATAAACAAATTAGCTCGGCTTTATAAACCAACAAACATAACTTTATAACTAACTCGGGGTCCTTCCCCCCTGTACAAAAAAAGCAGCCTTTTGCGATGTGAACAGCAGGACATGGCTGTTTATGAGTTGAAAAAAGTGCCATGGTGCCATGGTCAACGTTGGACTTGTGGGATGGTCATTTCCTCCATTGTCCTAGGGCCCTAGGGATTGATGTACCCGGTAGATTCCAAAAACGTGGCGTGGAGTACCAGAACTCAAAAAAACCAGGTGCAATTGGCAATTGCACATGTCATGCTGAAACTACCTTGATGACAATCTCTTACCATTTGGACAGTCAAATCCACTCACAATGTTTATATCAGGAATAGTATCAGTCATTCTCATCATTGTCTTTTTGCGGGTGCTTCGATTTAATCATCCAGTACACATCTGGACTTTCCCTTCATGGCAAGCCTCGGCCGAGGCAAATTGAAAACAACGAGTTGCCAGACAGGCGCAAGCAGCACCAACCTGGACACTTTTCGTTTTTTGATCCCCTGAGATCAGTGGCCATGCAACACGATAAACATTGGAGGTACCGATTCCATATATGTTAGGTCTATTTTTTAGGCCTTAGTTTCAGGGAATATCCCCAGAAAATATGGCCAAACATATGGTACAGTACCTCAATTTTGGGTACCTGAATGGCCCTTCGATTCGATTTCGGCCTTGGGTCATTTGCCGAGTCTCGCGATGTTGATCTGGCGGTCGAAACATGTCAAAGTCCTGTCGTGGCATCGTTCATTTGGAGCTTTCCTAAGTCATGGAGGACCCCCAAAAGATCCAATTAAATAAAATATATTTCTATCATAGACCATCCTAAATTATGTGGTACTTCTTATTTTCGGATTTTCTATGAAACAAACCATCCAGCGATTGGGCTACTTCCATGACTCAGGAAAGCTCATCGACATGCCTCAGAGTCTTTGTGAATCCAGTCGCTGAAAAACACTGGTGAATCCAGTCGCTGAAAAACACACCAGATTCGAATGTATGGCATTCCGTAACATTGCCATTTTCAAAAGGGCAAAAAAAACACGCCATGCCTTAGAAATGGTACTAATATGGTACTAATAGGTATTCTACACGATTGCCATTTCCTCTAACATGGTATTTCCCAACATTTTCCCAACATTTTCCCACCATTTCCTATAGGCAAATCATGTTTAAAGCTCGATGCATGCCCGTCATGTCGTTGTTCGTGCCCCATTTGTCACTATCTCCAATGATGACGAAAAAGAGAGTGCCATTTACAATCATTTTCCCTCTGGAAGTTCAGCATATACTACCCTTTATGTGTATATATAGATATGATTGAGGTATATAATATACGTGTATATATATATTATATATAATATATATATATATAATATATATATATATTGATCGAGATACTATATATATATATTTATCGGAGATGATCATAATCCATGAATGGGAAAATGCTGTTCTAGCCACTTTGCCACGCTATTTTTCATAGCTCTCTTCTCCGCCGGCCAGGAGACGATGATGTGGAGATTGGCATCAACACAGAAGAAATTTGGACGGAAGAGAAGGCCGGGACCTGTGGATTTTAGGCCCTGCGTTAGGAAATCGCGAAGATCTGTAGCACAGTCACTGGTGGCTCATCCCAGGAATCGTAAGTGGATTAGTTCACCCCAGTTATCCTTGGGGATGAACTTCATGTCATTGAACTTACGCAGGAATGCGACCCCACCAAGGATATGACGCCTTAAAAGTTGTCCGTTTGTTTTTGGGGAACCTCTGAAAGAATCTTCAAAGTTCATCAACGTTCATCTTGGGATTCATCTTACTGGTGCTAAACGTAAGGAATTAGGGAATGATCCACTGGCGAACTATCAATAATCATCCCAGCAACCCCCATTCCCCCATTCCCATCCATTCCCTACGTAAAACGCACCAGTAAGTCAGTAGTAGTAAGTCAATATCCTGTGCAAAACCAACGCTTTCAATCTTTGGGTCGGTGTCAATCTTTGGGTCAAGACCTACACCTAGAGTTTCTTGTGCAGCTCTCATCCTGGGGATCAGTGTGGAACCGATGGAACCAATATAGACGAACTACGGAATACCGGGTAAATCACCATGCTATTCATGGGTAAATCAACTATTTAAATGGCAATTTTCAATAGCAAACTGTTAGTTTAAATAGTTGATTTACCAACTATCAATTGCCATATATCTAGTTTAATGGTATGTTTAATAGATTGTAGTTAAAAATTACCATTAATCATAGTTTACTAGAGGGTAGATTGTATGATTCGATATGTTTACCTGTAAATCCAGCCATATTTCTAGATCTAGATTGGTTGGATAACCCCGATTCGGAAATCTGCTGATCTGATCCAGATCTCAGAAAGCCTTCCGTTTTTTTTGGGGGAAAATGGAGGTACATCAAAATTTCCCAAAGAATATCCACCATTTTTTCCCATGATTCGCTGGCTTGCTGAATTGAGGTATATATCCATGTAAATCCACCATTTTTGGCTTTGTCATCCTTTGGTTTCATCATCGTTTTCCGTACCACAATTTAGGGGGAAACCATTGTCGAAACAGATCCGTTTTCAGACAACGCCAGTACTTGGTTCATGCCATTGTTGAGAATCAATCCCACAATCATGTCCATACAAAATGCAATCTTTATCAATTGTTGATGTACCCTCGGGTAAACTAACATAGCTATTGAACATGGCCATTTATAGTGTATTTACCCACTAAAAATGGAGATTTTCCATGGTTATGTAAACGTTTACCAGAGGGTGAACCCCAAATCACTTCTGGTATATAGATCACCGGGGAAAAAGGAAATGCACCATCATTTCCTTGGCTTTAATGATGGATCCAATGGGATTTACCCTCCGGTGTCATCAACTGTGACTGGCTGGAAAATTCCCGAACTAAATGGAGGTTCCTAGCTGGGAAATGCCACGTTTGATTACACCCAGAACATCTTTTTTACTCTGTTATATCCCCATCATATCAACACATGGAAACATTTCTAGTTTCCCTATGATCTTGACTCGACCCATATAAATTTTTCATGACATGTTCTTTTTGGACTTTGACGAAGGAGATGCAGTTCCCCACTTTGACGGGGCAAGCGAGCAAGCGCCTGGCTTACGCTGGCGTGAAACCGGGGCATAGGTTAACATGGGGATTTTCACAGCATGTCATGGGGATTCAATGCGATGGAGGTTCCTTAAGTGGAAACAAAACCATCATTTAATGGGATTTTATGGGACTTAATGGCATTTGAATTCGATTTGAATCAGATGATAAGTGGATATTACCCTATGGCACTGTTTTGTTTTAGGATTTCACCAGCAGAAAATGGTGGTTTTTAATGGTGATATAATGGGAATATTGAAGGATCATCCCCTGGATTGCAAATGGTTTGTAAATGGTGTTATAGCCTAGTGAAATATGAGATAACCAATATGAGATATCCCCACGAAACCGGGGACGAATCCGATCACCAGAGTTACTATATAGCCACACACTTACGATTCCTGGATCCTCCATTCATGGGACCTGGTTGGTCATGTGATTTTGCCAAAGCTACAGTCACCATCCTCTGGGTTTAAGAAATTCGATGATGGATTGTAACAGCCCCCAGTCCCCTTATTTCGAGATAATCATCTTGTAATATATTGTAATATTATCATGTGATCACTATTAGGAAACTATGGTTTATTTCTCGACATTAATAGTGGTACTATTTTAATATGATGATATGAGAACATACATAGTTGAATATATCATAGTTTACATACAGAGTTGTAAGACTAATAGTGATCGCTCATTGGTTTATGAATCCGGGGACACGATAACTTTCCAGGTCGACTGGCAACGAAGCTCAGCTTTTGCCATTTCTGAGGCTGGGCCTGTGGGATGGCAGCTTTTACCTCACAGCCTGGGGGAAAAGCGACTTTCAATTAACGATAGGTTGAGACCAACAATTAGAAACAGGGCTTGGTTGGTTTGAAAATGTTTTAGATACTCTTTCCTCTCAACTGATTCAGTTTTTGGGGATCCCAATTGACATGCACAAGGAGTTGTTCACCCCAACAGGAAAGGTTGGGAACTTCTAAGATACCCTGGAACGTTCGACCCTCCCAGCATTGATTTGACCATCAGATTGGGACCGACTCCTCTATGTTTTCCAGGATCATTGTCCATGTTGGCTTTTGGTTGCTCAATGGGTTAATCTCTTAAGTAGTTAGGGGAGGAATGTCATCAACATTCTGCTATATGAATCATTTACCCTCTGGTTATTTAACATAGCCATGGAAAATGGCCCATTTATAGATGGTTTACCTATTAAAAATGGTGATTTTCCATGGCTATGTTAAATAACCAGATGGTATTTTTTCTTTCTGCAACACAGGTTGAGATTGGAAGTACTTAGATGTGCCTTCCAGTTGCTGTGTGACGACCATGCTGAGCTCACCATATCATCCAACACCTGGGTGGGTTGGCTGCACCTAGGGAAAAGGCAGCAGGAAACACATGAGTTCTACCATCCCAATGTACCGAACATCGTAGAAATATGGGACGTTTCTTGAACATGTGTATTCTGTCCATGTATATATATATATATACACATTATTGCATATTATATATCTATATATCTACTAGACTATACGTATTATGAAGACACATGCACTACACTTTACCAAACTTTGTTCTACTACTACACTACATTACGTTATATGTATATAAGGATTTCATATAATATTGATTACATGACTTGACATTGCAGCACATTACATACATATGTACCTACATATATGCTCTGGTAATCAAATATGGCAATAGATGATGTTCCCATTTAAATGACCATTTAGTTCAGGGATGTCCTAGCGGCCCACCTTGTTTGATGAAACCGAAGGGTATAGGTGATATAGTTAATTGGTTATTCTTGTTCTATGTCCATATTTCTTATTGGAAATATATCCAATCATATCCCATTACATGTCAGTAGATACAGTACCACTATATCCCAGTATATACCATTGTGATAAAGCTATTATTGGTACATATCCCATATAGTGGTATCAACATATATATATATATATTATTGGTACATATCCCATAGTGTTGTTGGTTACCAAACTGATCCAGCTACACCCGTAATTTGCCCAAATGAAGAGAACTTATGGCTCTGCGATCCCACCCTTAACCAGCTACGTTACCCATAATTGTCACTCTAAATTGACATTCACTCATATGGGTACTAATATGGGTACTATGGGTACCATTAACTATAAAATAATAATAGTGATTATTGTATAAATTATGGTGGTAATAGAATTTAATATGGGTACATATTAACACCATAAATCGTGTTTACCATACAGTGACTAGCTATTGATAATTATGATTAATAGCTGGTTAATCAATAATCGTGATGTTAATCAATATCATCGATAATACACTAGCCATTTACTACATCATAATACATAGATTATTGATTAACCATCTATTACCCAGGTTAACCATCTACTGCACCCACATGTGGTCCAGGCGCGTCTTGCCTCTCTTCGAGGCATCGATTCAGGAAATCAATCGCCACTGGGCGGCAGTCGCGCCGGTAAAGTCATGGGATATCAACGAAACATGGCGATAGATGCGATAGATAAAGTAGATCGGATTAGGCTGGATGAGATTACATTGCAATGACATTTCATCAACAAACATGTGTATGTATACGTGTGTGTATATATATACATTATACGTATACGTATGAATAAATATATGTCCAATATACAGAATATAGCCTCTCGTAAACATGTGAGACGATTCAGAATGACACCCTCTGGAAAACTAACTATCGCCATTCTTAATGGGTACATTCTCCAACTAGCCATGAGCCATGGCTACAAAAAACGCAAACTGTTAGTCTACAATGTTGAGATGTTTCTTGGGATTGGTGGTTCAACCATCAACCAGATCTAGAATTATTTATTATCTAGTTGAAATATGATATAATTCTATGTATGTTATAAATCTACATATTATATTAATTATTATGTATGTTATAATATTAACACTATATGATATAACATTACATATTTATCATCAATGATATAATATAATGTAGATAGATAGCTAGATAGATAGAAAGATAGATAGATAAGATTAGATAGATAAGATTAGATAAGTAAGATTAGATAGACAAGATTAGATAGATAAGATTAGATAGATAAGATTAGATAGATAAGATTAGATAGATAAGATTAGATAGATAAGATTAGATAGATAAGATTAGATCGATAAGATTAGATAGATAAGATTAGATAGATAAGATTAGATAGATAAGATTAGATAGATAAGATTAGATAGATAAGATTAGATAGATAAGATTAGATAGATAAGATTAGATAGATAAGATTAGATAGATAAGATTAGATAAGTAAGATTAGATTAGATTAGATTAGATTAGATTAGATAGATAGCTAGATAAGATTAGATAGATAAGATTAGATAGATAAGGTTAGATAGATAAGATTAGATAGATAAGGTTAGATAGATAAGATTAGATAGATAAGATTAGATAGATACGATTAGATAGATAAGATTAGATAGATAAGATTAGATCGATAAGATTAGATAGATAAGATTAGATCGATAAGATTAGATAGATAAGATTAGATAGATAAGATTAGATAGATAAGATAAGATTAGATTAGATTAGATGAAATTAGATTAGATTAGATTAGATTAGATAGATAGATGGATAGATAGATACATAGATAGATAGATAGATAGATAGATCGATAGATAGATAGATAGATAGATAAATATCGGCACTAATACATGTGTATGTACAGCAAAGATTTTCTGATCAACCATAGGATAGGGATGGGGCTTTTCCAAAGCGCTGGATCTCAGGTCGGGATGGCATCTTGCCACCGCCCTCGGATGAAGCGCTAGGGCAAACCCTGGCGCCTTGGCGAGTGCGAAACGTGGGGGAAAAAAGGCTGGCGTTTGGCCTATGGAAATTTTGCTTGGGGAAGTGGTACAATAAGGATATAATGGGAAGATTCCATGAATATTGATGGGATAGATTGGACAATTCCGTATATTTTTTTAAATCAAACATAGGGATATAATAGGAATATCATGGAATATGGATGGACTATTATTGGATATAGCCTCCGGTGTCATCAAACGTGGCAGTGGAACATTCCGAACTAAATGGAGCTTTGAATGGGAAAATCACCGAACTAAATGGTGAATTATCCATGGCAATGCTTGATTAGGGTACCTTAGGGAAAAAGGGAAAGTTGGCCATTTGACATTGAGAAATTGGGTTTTCCTATGGTTTTCCCTCCAACCCAAAGGTTTTTTTTTTTAATTTCCACAGTTATAAATCTGTGTTTTTTTTTAAATATGAGAGAACCCTTTGAATGGATTTGAATAATCTGGGGTTTGAGGTTGAACGTGGACCCATTAAACTGAGGAATACCATGGTGATTTTTTGTTATTACTTGGAGATGGTTCCGTTTGATGTTCAATATGAAAATCTGAAAATGTATCAATGACCCTCTGGTGTCATCAAACATGGCTGGAAAATCCAATAATTTGAGTTCGATTTCGATGATTCTCCCAATGCACATTTTGGATCAAGTACCCGATTACGTGTCATCAAACTTGCTGGAACATCTTAATTTTTATGTATGAATTGACCATTCGCACATTTCCTGACCGGGGATTCCCGGTCGGGGTTTTTCTGAAACCGGAGGTTTTTTTGACACAGAGTCAACGAAACCTGTGGGCTCATCTAGGTGCAGGTGCCAAATTTTTCATTCCAGGAGTTGGTTCATGGTCAGTAAATGGGGGTTAATCATGCACCTCGAGTGTTGGTTGTAGGATTTTACTGGGTGGTTAGAAACCATGAAAAACTGTATATATATATATATCCTCTGGTTATTTAACATAGCCATGGAAAATGGCCCATAGAAAACTCACTATAAATGGCCATTTTCAATAGCAAACTGTTAGTTACCAGAGGGTAGATCCTTGATGAAATTCGAAATATTTTTCACCAGATTGATTTGATCCATTTTTAAAGTGGTTTTCAATTCGAACCACCTTTGTCAAGGTGGTTTTCAAGATTTTCAATGCACGAACCAGCCATTTGGGTTTGTCTGAAAATAGTGTACCCCTACACCAAATGGTTTTGCTGATCATTATCCCTACTAAATGGCTATTTCATTGGGAAGATTAAGCCTATTTTCAGACAAACCCATTTTGTTAAACAAAGGTCAATCCAACCAGCCGCATTGAGCGTTCTGATGGTGTCACTATGGTGTCATTTACTCAGATCATGCGGTTTTTCTAAGGTACGCTGTACTCTGCCGGAGACTTTTGTCTCCACCTTCCTAGGCTGCCGAGGGCGCGCGTGGAAGTCATCTTTCCACGGCTGGGAAATTTCCCTCCCAAAAAATGGAGGTTTTCATGGGAAAGTTCACGATAAATAAATGGTGGATGTTCCTGCAAACCATGTTTGATTACCGGAAAGTAATCAGGCAGAATGGGATTTGACCAGCGATAGATATCTGAGGAAGAAATCTTGCTGCGTTGCTGCGTGGAATTGGAGTACAGTACCCAACCATTCTGTGATCGGAATCGATACAGGTTTGTACTTGGAAGTGCAGTTCCAGTGAAGCAAGTGGATATTATACATCTCCAACCTTGGATGGCTAGATACTATTCCTTTCTTTTGTGTTTTTTTTTGCTAGAAATGGAACATAGACATAGCCATCATAACCAGCAAGTTTGCTTGTTTTGTGGACTATCAGAGCTTGTTATCCCACCTTCCAGGGGGTCCGAGACCTTGGGGTCTCCGACATTTTCAGCTGGGAAATCACCCCATGCATCGGGCCATGTTACCCTCTGGTAAACAGCCACATAACTATGGAAAATCACCATTTTTAATGGGTAAATCAACTATTTCTATGGCCATTTTCAATAGCAAACTGTTAGTTTACTAGAGGGTAAATCACCAGCGTGTAGAAACATCCATTTTAGAGTGTAGAATCACCCAAAAAAACGGATGTCAGAGTGTTAAATCACCATGTTTTTTTGGGATTTGAGTACCTTGACGAATCTCCATATCTCTCCATACCATATCATGGCCAATGACAAGTAAGCTCCAAAGAAGCCTGAAAGCGGAACAGCCAGTCATTTCTAGATTCTCTTTTCCTACAAAGTGAGGCCCCCCAAACATTATATATGTGTGTTGGTTTAAAACCCATTAATACTTTAAGTATGTTCCCCATAAACCCTAGTTAATCAAGTTATGTGCGTCAACTTAGCTATCTAGGGGGCCTAACCTTGTAAAGGTTTAGAATGGGTTTTAACATTTCAACACTTTAACTCACTAACCAGGTGAGAGATGGAAAATCACACCATCTTCTGCCACACAAGCGCAGCATTTCCGCTGCCAGGTGCACCTGCGGCTGTACAAGATCTCACGCTTGTGCCGCAGTGGTTCCATGGTTAAGATTGGGGGGGGTGATGGAGAAAAACCCTGGAAGTCTTTGGGCAATACTGAGAACACCCTCTGGTAAACGTTTATATACATATTATAACTATGGAACATCACCATGCTATTAATGGGTAAAACCACTATTTCTATGGCCATTCCCAATAGCTTTTTGTAAACGTTTACCAGATTGTATATTCCATTAAGTGGATTATAATCCCAATAAACCCCATGAAATCACAATTAAACCTCATGGAAAATCCCTAACTAACTGTAAACGTTTCCAGGCCGGGTATCTCAAAAGGAATAGGAACCAAAGATTTAGATTCTAGATCCCATTGCTGGTTGAACATGGACCAAGATGTTTCGGATAAGGGCCACTCTTTGCGCGGCTAACTTTGACAGGGGTGGGCAAAAGCTCAAAAGAGGAAAACAAACAGATGTATCAGTAGGTAAGAAAGCAAACATGCGCATCAATGATCTGATACATTCACTTGCAGACAAAAACGCTGCTTCAAACTTAGTGCCGTGTATTCACATGAACGTCAAAGATGGCTAGGTATGGTTCAAGAGCTGGCCACGGTGTTGTGCCAAGACCTGACGTGAAGGAGTTTTTTAAAACACAATACTAAAAGCTTTAAAAGGACCACAGATCGTGCTCTTTCTCATTCACATCATTCATTCCATTGCATGTCTCCAAAGAATTCTAGTGTCCCCTTGAAAGCCACCATTTACCCTACAGATCCCGGAGTGATCAAACAGGGCTTGCTGGAAAAATCGACGATTTATAGATGATTTCCCAGCCTGAAATCTGCATTTTTGGGGATTTCCCGGCCAGCCACGTTGGATGACACCGGAGGCTATTCTACTCCCATTCCCTTGAAAAATGCACGTTTTGAGATGTGAAAAAATCATAAAAATATTGCTATTTTCTTAAAATAAACATGTTTGATTACCGGAGGGTATGCGCACTATGCCAGCTTTTCAAAGTATTGTAATTACCCAGCTCCATGATCAGTTGTTGGGGTACCTCAATATCCACCAGTGGTCAAGGGCATATTCCAGTTGTAATATCACCTGGGCAAGCCAACCGGCAAGTTTTTGACCGCATAACACTGAGGTTTCTTGGTACGTTCAAATTCAACATGTTTTGTTGGCGTAAGCCAGGAAAGTCATATTAAGCCCCACATTTTTGGTGGAGAAACCTTAAAGCGAATCGCTTTTTCAGGTACTATGTAACCAGGAAGACATGATGTTTAATCAAGTATAATTTATACAGAACCATTTTTTAATTTGCGGGCACCCAAGACATATTTGACTGTGACAGCCCTTTAAATTGCCGTTGAAATCATCAACAAATCATCTGCATGTAGGTGTCGGAGAAGCACCTCGATATGACCCAGATAGATGTCATAGAATCACGGAGGTGTGTTGAGGAAAAGGAGAGGTAACACCCCATTGCATTTTGTTGAGAACGATGATAAATGATGGACCGAAAGCAATTTTCATTTATTTTTCCAAGTGGTACCGATCAATCAAAAGGGCCATTTTCAGGGTCTACGCTAGGTAGGGGCTGGAAGACATCCCATTGAACCATGTTATTGTAATGCTTTATTGACACTGACACATTGATGATTCCCTTACATAGGCCTTACATAGGCCTTATATATGGTAGGATATGGTAGGTACCTCCAATTCAGGTTCCTGAAATGACCATTGAATTGATGATTCTTATTGACGAACAATTGATGAACAGGATGATCATTATGTATAATTAATCCATGTTCCCTCCATCAGTACTACTATTGAACCCTCCATAATCCGTCGAACACAATTTGACAATTAGATACTTTATTGTTCCTTTATTGATGGTTGATTTATTTTCGTCCCAAATCAAACATGTGTAAATCCCCCTACATCCACCATGGTTTCGGGGGTGTGTTGGTTCATATAATCGCTGGAAGGGATCAATCATATCCTTGCATTCAATTTGGCTTGAGGGAAAAAAATACAGGACCCCCCCCCCCATAGTTTACGGGAGCATGGTTTCCGGTTAAGATCTTCCCTTATATAAACTAATCCTGGTTGGTGGTTTGGAACATTCGGATTATTTTTCCATTCAGTTGGGAATTTCATCATCCCATCATCCCAACTGACTTTCACTCCATCATTTTTCAGAGGGGTGGCTCAAAACCACCAACCAGTAATAATTGGGTTAATAAGTGGTCAATAACCATAGCTAGTTCACTCAATAGTGGTTATAAGTTATATTAATAACTATGGTTATAAACCATTGTGGCAAAAAACCACCAACCAGTAATCCATTGATGGATCCCTTGAAGCTAGGACCACCATACCTATGCCTGATTGGTGGTTTCAAACATGATTTTTATTTTCAATATATGGGATGTCATCCGAAACCCATTGACGAACTCACTCCATCATTTTTCAAGATGGTTATATAAAACCACCAACCAGATGCTGAGGTATGGTGCGGATCATGCTCTCGCGCTGTACACCTGGCCGGAGGCCGAAGTCGGGCCGAAGTTGGGCTCGGGAAAGCAGGGACTTTTTTAATATCGGTCACTGTAAAAGGATGGTTGAAGTAAGGGGGAATCATCCCCGTTTAATAGGTTTCATATGATACATATGGTTCAATGATGTTTAATTAATATGGTTCAATGATGTTTAATCAATTTTAATTAGTTCAATGATGTTTAATTAATTCACCAAAACAGGTTTCATATGGTTCAATGATGTTTGATTAATTTTAATTAGTGTTTCTGATTTGAGACTTTTGATTTATGTTTCTGATGTAGTAATTTGATGTAAATTGTCCAAACAAATGGTGAAATGACCAGCATGCATGTTTAAGAAGCATCAATTGGGGATAGGAGGAGGGTTTCAGTAGATGAGGTCTTGAGTGGCAAACAATGGATACCAGCCAAGATGAAGGTTTCACTACCAATAAGCATCGGAGTTCTTGCAATACAACAACGGGTTTTGAGACACAGACCAAAAAAAGGAGTGATTGCACGATCAGAAAAAAGACGTTTTCGGTTCATAGCGATGGGATCTAAACAACTTGGTGCTTTTCCTACCAAGACATGTTCTTTTTGACAGAGATGGCTATGGATCAATACCTATTAATACCATTTTTAGGGGGATGAACATCCATAAATCCCAGCTATTTTGATGTGAACTACAGGGGTACTATTGGTTTTGACACACTGCCAGATAGGGACTTAAGATTCGGAATGTGGATCCCAGGGAGCGCTTTCACTGCAGTTCGCCTGAGGCAATTTGAACACCGAAAAGCAACGCGCTGTTGCGAGGTCCCCTAGAGCCGAGCATGTCTCTGAGTTGCTTGGAGACACGAGATCCAGAGACGTTCAGGATGCTTCTTTGGCCGAATCTGTGAAGGATCCTCCAGAGAAAACATGAACGGAAGCTCAACTTTGTGGGCGCAGCGCCCACGGACCAGAGCCTGGGCTCAGGGCTTAGATAGGTAGCACCTTGTAGCCAAAACTTGCCTTCCTGCCAACCACCCAAAAAACATTGATAGGTGTTTTTTTATAGTGGGCCTATTGGTTGAACACACGGTGTGTTATTCTTGTTCTTCCCGTTTCTATGGTTTATTTTTCTGGTTGGTGGTTTCAAACATTTTTTTTTCCATAATATATGGGATAATCCTTCCCATTGACTTTCATATTTTTCAAGATGGTTGAAACCACCAACCAGTTTTCAATTTTGTCGGCACAACACAAAAACAGCTGGCGAAAGACTTAAGAACTGGGCATTCGGTTGTATAGCCGACGTGGCGGCTCGCTGGCAAACACCAGAATAAAGGATGGTTTCAAGTAAACAAACATCTGTTAGAGGCCATCCTGGTGTTCGATTTTTCCACCAAAACAGTGTGTATGATCATTATCATGCACATGATCATACATTATTTGCTTATATTTGGTTGGTGCTTTGGAACATGAATGGATTATGACTTTCCATTCAGTTGGGAATTTCATCATCCCAACTGACGAACTCATATTTTTCAGAGGGGTGGCTCAACCACCAACCAGTTATCCTCCCACTCCCCCCACTGTTTTGGATGACCTCAAGTACCCACGGCGGCACGAGATAGCACCCCTCATATGATAGGTATAGACTAACCATGTTCAGTGAAAATCCGTTTACACATACGAAAAAAAAAAAATAACAACCTGGGTTATTGCCAAGGATCAGATCTTTTGTGAGCTTGACCTTCACTATGCACTTTTTGAGCGGGGGATAAGCCAGGATACGCCGCAAATCTTCCCCAGTTCTTGATAATCAATACCCTCTGGTTATGTCAAACAGTTTGCTATTGAAAATGGCCATAGAAATAGTGGATTTTCCCATTAATAGCATGGTGATTTTCCAGAGCTATGTGGCTGTTTACCAGAGGGTATTCATCAATAGAATTCAATCACGTAATTCCTCAATGTTTATGAAATGCCAAATGGATCCAAATGGGTCATTGAGTCATTGATCATCATTACTTGGTGAATTAAGGCTACTCAGCACATTACCAAGTCGTTTCAAGTGGCATTGTTATTTTTTCGTCTCATTTGCAGGCTGAAACAATACGACATGATGGGTCTATATAATATGTATGGCATAATGATACACTGATACAATAAGAACAGCAGACTCCGCCAAAATCATCAGATTTATCCATTACCCCCCGGTAATTTTAACATAACTGGGGAACATATGAAACTGGCCCATTTAAAGATGGTTTACGTCTACAGAATGGTTATTTTCCATAGCTAGGTTGAAATACAGTAGGAAATTAGATACAACTACTATCAATTTACCGTCGATACTATCGTGAAATCATAGAATTGGATGATGGGAAAATTTACAGGAAAGCCCTATATTTGATGGTAAAAACCATGGTTTCCTGTAAATTTTCCCTTAAACCAATCCAGTGATGAAAGCGTTACACTTAATACAATCACTATCCTCCGGAAGACTAACATAGATGTGGAAAATCCAATCGATTTTGTAGAGCATTTTTCACGCGGGAAACCAAGGGTTTTCTACATCTATGTTAGTTTACCCGAGGGTCTGATTATTCAACATAGCTATGGAAAATTGCCAATTCATAGATTCTAGATGGTAAAATGATGATTTGCCTTTCAACAAAAAGTGATTTCCCTATACCTAGGGGCATTAAGTTCCACGTTCAACTATTAAACCCACTTAACATTCATTAATCCCGAGTTATAAGATGTTATAAGCTGGTTTATAAACCACAGTTAATAAACTACAGTTGGCTACTATAAATTTATTGATCGAAATTCATTGATCGACACATCAATTCCACTGGTTTTCCCATCGATTTGTCTTCCAGCCAGGCTCCAAGGCCCCCAATAGAGGGTGGCAGCACGTTGAGCAGCTTCCTGCGTCCGTTGCGGTCCTTGGCCGGGGCCCTGAAAATGCTAAGGTTGCCCATGGAAAATGGTAGTTTCACCACGAAAAATGGTGGTTTTTTACCATCTAGAATGGTGGTTTAGCTATCTAAAATGGATTGGAATTGTGGTTTAACTATTTATCTAAAATGGTGGTTTAAGTATCTAAAATGGTGGTTTAACATGGTTTCACCATGAAAAATGGTGGTTTGATGAGATTCTCATGGGAAATAAAACGTTGATGAGTCCCTTAGCCTCCGATGTCCTCTATGGCGGGCGGCTGGGATCGGATGGGATTACCAAATTTAAGATCTATTTTCTATATCCTATTATCCTATTATAGGATATTCTATTACTATTATTATTCAATAAGAAAAACTATATCCGATTCTATTATGTTTCGTTGTTATTTTCCAATTGCAATATACAATCTGGTTATTTAACATAGCCATGGAAAATCCCTCACAAATGGAGGTTTCTAGCTGGGAAAATCATCTATTTCTATGGGCCATGGCTTCCATGGCTATGTTAGTCATAACCAGATGGTATATCAAACATGATCCATTTTTCTGGGCCATGAGTAGCAACTTGTAGGTCACCATGGCCGCCAAACTGAGGTGGGTCTTCATCCGTTGATGCTGGGAGGTGGAACGGATGTAGATTTCGGATGTCACTCCAGAAATCATGGGGTACAGGATGGGGCCCCCAAGATAGCTAAGTTGGTTGATAAGGGGCTTAACAATGGTTTATGGTAGATATAACTATAGTTAATGGGGTTTATAAACCAACTTATAACTGGGGGGCCCCACATTGTAGGTCAATCTTAGATGGGTAGAAACTAATCCTGCTATGTCTTTTGGTATCAATGGGATTATCTACGTTCACCAGCTAAGAATTTGTTTTTGTTGCAGGGTATCTAAGATTGGCCATGTATTCAGCATAAGGTATCATAAGCCATAGTCATTGGAGATATACACCAATAATATTGTGATATGGGTTAGTCTGAAAATTTAGGGGAAGGAAAGCAATTTCAATGGATTAGAACTTCATTTTCCCTATTCAAATGGCCATTTGGAGGTCTTCCATATTTTCAGACCCCATATGGATGAACTAAAAGTCATTCCAGAATTCGAAGTTGATTACCTTCAGGTTCCAGACACAGTTGCTACAACACTTTTGCTTTTCAGTGTTGAGACTGCGTTCCACCTGGGCCCCAAATGCCCCAGGGCCCCAAATCATGGCAGGTTCATCAATTTCGGCACGACCTGCAAGATGTTTATATTCCTTTTGTGCAGAGCTCAGTGTCGGCAGCGCAAAGCACATATGGTCACAGTATGATGTTTGCACATGATTGTTGTTCGTCATAGTTACTATGCTACTTATTCTGAGCTTGATTGTGGAATGCCACTTTGCCTAGGTCCACAAATTCGTGTTTCCTGTTTGAAGCCACGTTTGTGTGGTACAGCTGATTGCTTTTCCTGTTTGTTGGTTGCTCCCCGTTTTCGATTGGAAAAATAACACCAATTTTTGTTGGTCAACTGCCAATTCTTGCTGCTCAAAACATATCAAAACCCAATTATTGAAGAGGTCAAAACCCAATTTGATTTGGAAAATCAAATTAATCCTGGTTTTGACCAATTTTTTCTGCCTAAATCCCAGTTGGGTAATCAGATTAATCTAATCCTGGTTTTCCAAAACCCCAGAGAGAAAATGCCCCTGCCCCGGCGTAATCAAGGCCAACTCACATCGTTGACAGTGGTCAATGGGAGGTGTGGCCTCGGTATTTCAAGCAGACATGCGGAGTCAACTAACTAATCCCATCCTCCATTCATATTAAACACCCCTATTGTATGGTCCCAATGATGTGGAATTTCCCTACATCCACCATGGTCTCTAGATGTTTCTAGGGGGTGTTTGATATTAGGGGAATGCGTTGTATGTTTTTTTTTGGGGAAACTCAACTATAGGAGGCACTTTTTTCACGAATCTGTGCGCCCAATGCCGACAGCCCAGCAATGATTGCATCAAGGTGTTGATGATGTCTACCTGGAACTTGTCAGGAGAACTAGTTCGATGGGATCACATCCAACAAACATGGATCACGGGCCCTTCCTATGGGATCACATGGCAATTTTTCTATCTGCGGCTTTGTTGCTGACATCACCGTGGAGTCTAACTTGGAGGTGCTGTTAAAGTGAACTAAGTGGATTTATAACCATGCTTTTGGGGCCCCATATCCCAACTTATGGGGGTTTAATTTCCCATGATCATACACCATCATACACCCATAAAAAGTAGCCTCAGTCCTGCACCATGAAAAAGTGAAATGCCATGCATAAATCCCATTCAAACCTTTGAAAATTCCATGATTTTCTTGGTCAAATCATTATTTTTTCCATGGTCTTCCTATGAATCCCCTTGCGCCGCCAGGTCCCATTTGATCGTTGCTGGATCCGAGAGCGGCTCCCTTCTGGTGCCCCGGGGAATGCGGTGGTGCGGTGGTGCGGCCCTACGAATGGATCCCCGTGGTGGAAAACTGCTCTAAAAAGATGTGGAAAACCCCATGGTTTCCCACGTTCCCGTTGGGAAACGGATCTACTTCTATGACTCCCACTTCGATGGGGAAAACCGGAAAACCCACCAAAATTGGGTGGCTTTTCCACATCGAACTGTGAGTTTACAAGAGGCTAATCTGTTTTGTTTAGAATGGTGATATAACCAGCAGAAGAATGGATTTACTCAGCGAGAACGCAGGTCTACGATCTCCGCGTGCGCGCGAGAAGCCCTGCGGAACTCCTGGGGGACATGGAAGGCGTCCGAGCCCGTTAAGGGCTCCGACGTGGTGCCGTGGGTTTTTGTCACCATAACATGGTGGATTTTCAGCATAAAGAAGACATGTGGATTTAAAGAGTTTAAATGGATCTACAATGTGATCAACATATAAACCAAGTTTTTTTTTTTAATTATTCATAGGTTAGAGCTCAGCAGGAGGATTTAAAGTAACACGTGGATTTACCTATCCCAAATGGTGAATTTATATGACCAATCCTACGCCCAACATCCGAAGGACTTTCGGCAGGAAAAAACTGCGGATTCGAGTGATTTAGGGGAGAACATCATTTATTTCATGGGTGTAGAATATGACATAAACTATTTAGTGGATATTAACACCATGGTTAATATTTATTGGAGTTATTTATATGAATTATATTTTTAGGGGATAACATATGGGTGTAGAATATGACACAATGGGTTAGAATATGTTCTCTCATGGTAATATCCATGATGTGCAACTGTTTAAAGACCATGTCAACCCTGGATTAATAAACCCCAAACGGTTGTTTAATTGGAATGGTACCATAAAACAAGTATCAGATTATGACTGTTTGGTGAATACCCCTCTAATTTTCATACACCATGCTGGTTGGTGGTTTGGAACATTTGGATTATTTTTCCATTCAGTTGGGAATCATAATCCCAACTGACGAACTCATATTTTTCAGAGGGGTTGACACCACCAACCAGACTAGTTCGATATATCATAAATCCTACTTAACCTAGTTGCAGACCAACTTAGCTATTTGGAATACCTCCCTAATTTTCAGAAACCATGGCTTATTACTCCGGGGTTGACAAAACCATGGGGGCAGCATCCACACCATGGATGAAAAAACATCGCTCGCAGGTTTACCTCCAAATCCTGACCCGGACGTGGATCACTTCCAGGCCAAGCCCAGCCGATTTCCAAAGCAGATTGAGGGGAATGATATGAGAATGATACGGTGGATGGAAGAAATCCTGCACCAGCTGATAGGTGGTTTATCCCACTATTATAGGGTTTCAACCATCCTTTTGGTGGTGCAGGATTTGGCAACCATCCACAGTATGATGAATATGGAGGGGATAGATTCGGATAGATGGAGGGAATCAATCTTCTCATTACCCTCTGGTAAACATAACTAATTTTACTCTGGAACATCACCATTTTTGATGGGTAAATCAACGAACTTCATCATGGTCATTTCCAACAGCTACGTTCAATTACCAGAGGGTATTGAGGGAAGATGGTCTGAAGATATTGTGACCTCAAACGATGGGTTCCAGGTGATGGTGGCCATCGCTACAAAAGAATACACGACCACCCTGGGATGGTTCATACGGTTTGTGGGGCCCGCGTTCGATAGCGTTCAGTTGGTGCAAATAGCTCCAATAACTATCAATAACTATGGTTGATGATACGCACATAACTATGGTATTCATGGGGTTTATAATTATAGGGGTTTATAAACCAGTTTATAACGTTTGGGGGCCCCACATGGTAGAACCCATTTCTTTCGAATTGGGGGGGCGGTAGACCCGGTAGATGATGGGATGATGTCAGTCACCTAAACCGCGGTTTTTTTGCGGAAAATTTCACAAGCGGTGCCCCACTTTTTTCGGCACATGATGCAGGAAGTTCACATGGGGGATCATGGATACCCTCTGGTAATTTAACGTAGCTATTGAAAATGGCCATTTATAGTGGATTTACCCATTAATAATGGTGATTTTCTATAGCTACGTTAGTTTACCAGAGGATATCTGGATAAATATCTGCTATTCATATATGGGATAACCAGAGGAATAGCCATGTTAAATAACCAGAGGGATCATAGAATAATTTCTATCCAGATATTTACCCTCTGGTTATTTAACAGACATAGCGAACTGGAAGCCATGGCCCATAAAAAGAGATGATTTTCCCAGCTATAAACCTCCATTTATTGAATTTATAAGGGCAATTCCAGTTTGCTATGCTAATGAATTGTCACATCTCTTGATATGGAGGTGTCCGTTTCGTCATGGGAGTACCCCTAGTTCTCATCCATGTATAGATGGATTTTCCCTGAAATAAACCAACAAGCTATTGGGGATCACCCCCATGTCTATGGAAACCTCTTGATATAGCCATCTTGAAGATGCAGCCCGCCCAATGGAATACCATTTGTTATTCAAAATAATAAACCAACATTTCATATAAAAAATAAACATGTTTGTTCCACGTGATTTTTTTAAATTTCTATTAATATAATAAATTCTTAATGATACTAAAAGACCTGGGGGACCGGGACGGCAGCTTGGAAGATCCACCTACCATCGGCAGCCATGCCGTGAAGCAAATGATGTTCTGCAAAACTGGCAGCCTCTGGCATAGCTTTAACTTGGCCAGCTAGAACATATCAAATTCATAGATTATATGTGATTATATACATAGATTATACATAATTACATAGATTAATTATGATTGTATACTAATATATGATCTGTTCCTAAGTCTATAATCCTATATTTCCTCGAAAATGGCGGCTCCCACCCAGATTTGCGGCAGCCGAGATTTTCATTTGCTTTCGGATGATCAACAGCCCATTTTAAGGCTGAATTGCTGATGAAGTCCTGACTTTTTCTGCTGAAACCATCCAAATTTTGCTGTGAAGAAAAAGCTCTGTTTTTCTTGGTGCCAAATTTTGGTAATTTTCTCATCCATAAATTTTCTGATCATCCATAAATGATCAATTTTTTGGTGTTTTTTTCCTGATCATCCATAAATTTGCCAATTTTGCCCAAAGCTCCACGATTTTGCCAAACCCAGAAAGCCCATCCGTTCGGTCAGGGTGCAGTTTGGTTGCCTTCCGCCTTCTCTACCGATGTCTTCGTGGGGTACTTGAGTTCAACAGGTCGGCAGGTCACGAAGAAACTACTCTGAATACATGGTGAAAATGGATCTGATCAATCGGTTTTTGAGTACATCTAATCCAGACATATCTAGACTACACATCTGGTTGGTGGTTTGGAACATGATTTTTTCTCATAATATATGGTAATATATGGGATGTCATCCGAAACCCATTGACGAACTCCATCATTTTTCAAGATGGTTATTGCACCACCAACCAGCTATACTTTGATGTGTTCAACAGTTTCGTGATTCGCGTTCTCCGAATTGTTGGTTTTGCCATACTGGGCGAATCGACATTTCGGGCTGGGCACACAGGCAAGAGGGGCAGATCGTGAAGTGAAGACTCTCCCCTAGAACTGGTGTTGGGCCAAAACCATGCTGAAATGGAGATTAGTGATACCTGGTGAGTGAAGGAACAACAATCTGCTGAAAGCAACAAGAACCATTATGTAACGCGTAAAAGTATAGATCCATATTATAAATATACATATATCCTTGATGTATATATGTATATATACAAACGTATCAATTATCAATTGTTATGTCTATATACACATATATATATGTATACACACGATATGTGCATATGTATATATATATAGCGTATATATTCCATAACACTGGCAAAAGGGGCTTGAAGCAGCTTGAAGCTTCCAAGCTCCTGAGTTGGTTCTCAATTAGGGCTTGGATGAGTATCCCAAATGTAACCCTGAGTAGTCAAACATAAAAAACATGGCAATATCTCTTCAACTGAATAGAAGTTTTTGAGTGGGACACTTATCTATAAATGGGGGATTTTCCATGTTTGCCAGCTATGGTTTCATGCTGAACCACCTACCAGGTTACCCAGCCTTTTTGATGGTTTTTGGAATGTGAAATCACGGTCAAACCCCAAAAGTCACCCATTTGTTTCCTGTCACTCTCGAAAAACACGAGCAGAATCACACTGCATTGCTTTTTTCTATGGGAATTTCAGGATCCTAAAATGGAGGTACTGTACCATATCAGGCCTTTTGTGGTGATATTCCCTGAAATTTAGGCCTAAGAACTAGGCCTTTTTTCTATGGAATCGGTACCTCCAATAAAATCAATAAATCGTTTCCTGACATGGCCATGGATTTTTCTGAACATTTGCCGTACCAAGGTTTTGCCGTCTGGGCTGAAAGGGTTGGGATCCCCAAAAGCCGTGATGGATCTGCCTCCGGATCCCCAAAGTGCGCTTGGAGGCGGACATGGATATATCTTAGTTATAACATGTTAAAAAACACTTACCCTCTGGTTATGTCAAAATAGCTATTGAACATGGCCATTTATATATAGTTGATTTACCCATCAAAAATGGTGATTTCCCACAGTTATGTTAGTTTACTGGATGGTACAATCTCAACTGCAGTTACTTAAGTCTATTGATATGTTGATATGATCTCAGTTACTAGTTGGGTGACTGATGTCCAGTACATAAGTTGTTTTTCTTTACCCCCGTGACAAAAAATCTATGATGCTATATGGCTATGAGTCAAATTGAGGTACTGGTCAGTGGATTCACAAATGGCTGGTCGGTGGTCAGCTGGTCATTTTCAGGATCTAGAAATATTATTATTTTTTCGGGATTCAATATTTGAACAATCCAGAACTATGCTGTATACCCACTCACAGGGTGAGTCTCCCAAACGATAGCTAAGTTGATTTATAACTCGATGAACTTAATAGGCTTTATGAGGGATATAACTGTACCTAAGTTGATTTATAATCCCATAAGTCCTGATTATTTGAGTTATTTGCACCAACTTAGCTATCGAACGGGGGCACTACCTTGTACTACGGTTATAAACCAACTTATTCCAACTTATAACTAGGGAGCCTCACCTTCTTCACCCCTGGCTGGTGAGGCTTGATGATGACATCGTGCAACGCGGCGAAAGAGATTGGTGAGTCAGTGGGTCAGTGAACCGGATATTACAACCATGTTATAAAAGTATTACAGTACATAATAGCTGGATGATGTTTTTTTTTTTGTTTTTATCTTTTGCAATACCCACAGATATTATTGCGATTTAATGGTGATTCAATGCTGATTTAATGGGATTTAATGATGTTAAATAGGATTTATCCACCAGTAAACTAACATGATTATTTAAAGTAGTGACTTTTCAGTTTGCTACATATGTTAAGTTACCGGAGGGTATTTGTTTTGTGCAGATTGCCAGATGTTACAATAAACTGCATTGTTGGATGAAAGATGCTGAAAGCAATGGGAACCATTGGGATGCCCGAATCGTGGAATCCATGAAGGACATCGTCAGTTTCCATCTGGGCAGAGATTGGGCAGTCTGCATCTCGGAGCAGACGGCAGAGCATTTGATCTCTGAGGCCCGCAAGTTCGGGAATGATGTGGATGCTGCCAAGTGGATTCCCAATGAGCAACGGAAGAATGATTACATCCAGCTTGTGAAAGACTGGGCGGCATATCATGGACTCAGTTTACCATCCACACAGGCAAGGAGGAAGCGGAAACACGGGTGCTTCAATGAACAAGCCTGGGGGGCACTCTCGGCAGATGAGCAAGCACCTTGACGGACATTTTTTTCATCTTTGCCAGGCCCGAACGGGTACCCAACAGAATGTACACCCCCATTCCACATCCCTAAATTTTACATAATTTTACATGGAATCCCAAACATGGCTTTTGGAAGATCATGCTGTTATTAGACATGGCTATGTTGTAATTATTTTGTTCTATTTTCGTACAGTTTTGGGTTCGATGCTGATCTTTTGGAATGTACATGATTCTTGGCCATCGTTGTTTGTAATTCCCTTGTGGTGATCCCTAGAGATTCTTGGGCCGCCTCCTAAAACGCACCAGTTCTTCTCGGTTTCATTCGGTTTCATGTGCTTGAAATTGAAACGCCACACTAATATCAATGTGGTAAGCCCAATTTCAAAAACCATTACGAACATACCCTCTGGTAAACTAACATAGCTATTGAAAATGGCAATTTATAGTGAGTTTTCCCATTAAAAATGGTGATTTTCCATAGTTATGTGGCTGTTTACCAGATGGTAGCCATAACTCTCATGAATGGGTGGTGTAAACCGTCCCCAAATGGGAGTTGTTTTTTCATGGCAGCCAGGGTTTACCATGCTTTGCCATGGACATTTTCCAATTTTCACTAGTACATACTATAAATCTATAATAATTACAATGATCGATTCCATACTACAATAGTTATAGTCATAATTATAGTCATAATTATGAACTATATAGTATAGTCAGTATGATTCACTATAATCATGCCATACTATTACTATTACTACAGTCATAATTAAAGTAATACTCCAATGAAAGTCAATTGTATACTTTGAAAGCATTACTATTACTACAGCCATAATTATGCTTCCAATACAGTCATACTTCTACAGTCAATTTACAGTATCCATTGAACCAATGAAAGTGATCCATCGAAGCCAAACAGAACCGCCCCCACCTCGCGAGGTCCGGAGCCATGGGTTTCTCCAAGGGTCTCGGGGACTGGCGGCGGATGGGTTCGGATGGGTTCGGATGGGTTCTGGGTGAAGCGTGGAAGTTTAACCCAACAATTAAAGCTAGGTAACTTGAACTTGATTATGGTAATTATGGCTAGGATGACTCAATTGGTTCATAACTCATGGATGATGATTGACAATGATATGGATAAACATGTGGATAAGTGACTTATCTGGTCGGTGGTTTGGAACATGAATGGATTATTTTTCCATTCAGTTGGGAATTTCATCATCCCAACTGACGAACTCCATCATTTTTCAGAGGGGTAGGGCTCAACCACCAACCAGTTATGAAAATTTGGGATTTGGATTTGAATTTGATTTATCGTTTGATTTATGATTTGGATTATGAACATTCAGGTGCCAAGGGGTTTGACTCATAGCCATATACGCTAAGAATTTGCAATTTTTTGCAGGGTATCTAAGATTGGCCATGATGGAAGGTAACTTGATTTATTAAAATTCGGAATTTGGATTTGAATTTGGTTTATCGTTTAATTATGATTTGGATTATGAAAATTCGGGATTTGGATTTGACAAAATCATTTATCAAACCCCAAAGAACTTCATGATCTGGTTGGTGGTTTGGAACATGACTTTTATTTTTCCATATATTGGGAATGTCATCATCCCAACTGACTCATATTTTTCAAAGGGGTAGGTATACCACCAACCAGTGATGCACATGTTTGTTAAATACTAAAAAATGGGTTCTCCAAGATCAAATGAGATGATTTCTGTTGCCGGCAACTTGATTATCAACCATAAATATGAAGTTGAACCGTCAGAAATGCTGGCAAACATTGGATGGGTACCTTAATGTACCCTCTGGTAATTTAACAGTTTGCTATTGAAACCATGGCCCATTTATAGATTATTTACCTATTGAAGATGGTGATTTTCAATAGCTATATAAAAAATTACCAGAGGGTAACTTTGACACATATTTTTGCTATGTCCAATCAGCCAAACATTAATCCCACTATGGGGGGATCCAAGATGGCAATGGGGGAAATTCAGATTTTTTTTTCCACGGGCTTTGGACTTTGCAAGCCAACTTTGAGACCAACTCATTGCCACTGAACGATGGGATCATCTTGACCTAACGGCCTCACCCATTGAACGTGTTTTTGTGGTACCTGAAATGAAGCTTGGTGGGATCTGAAGTGTTGGGAGGAAGATATGCAATTTTTTCAGGTGGTCTTTTACCACCTGAAAACATCTAAAAGCTACAGATGACGACTCGGACTAACCAGATCGTTGTCTACACTAGATATCAAGCCAAGTCCTCACCTCCTTTCCAACAAGTCCTTGCATAAGCTATTTGGATCCAATTTCATCATTCTCAACATACAAAAAAATATGTCCAGAAATCGCTGGCAGATACCCAGTACAATGATGGGGAATCTATGACTCACCGGTACAACTGGTACCCAGTTGGTCGTGAAAGAACCATGGTCCAATGGTCCCTTCATCCAGGATTCTGAGGGGCATCACCACGAGGTGCTATCCAGTGCTGTGATGGGCCCAGAATTTTTAGTGATCTCACATCATTTTTGCAACGCAGTGTCACCACTCTTGTCATTCAAATCTTGTTTTTTTTCCGGTTCAATGCCAATTGTTCAAGAGTATGCAGCCATTGGTCACTTTTCCAGGTTTGTTGGTGAACAACACACCGTTTCTTTAGTATTGATTAGTTTCGATCTCCACTTCTTTTGCTTGAGTCCCAACTTGTATACCTTCCGGTAGTCAACCATGGCAAATGGAAGTCCACCATTTATACACGATTTTCCCATTAAAACCTCCGTTTATGGGGGGTTTGATTACCAGAGGGTGTAGATGATTAAGACCCCATTTTGCTTGTATGGCAATTTTGTTCTTAGTTGGATTCCCTCATTGTAGGCAGGCTTCAACCTCGCATTCTTTTAGGTTTTAGTTGATGGTATGGGTTCGTCTTGGCCATTTCGATAAAGAACATGCTGATCAGCCAGTGGATGTTGGGTTCCACTCTCATTTGACGCTTTTTGTTGGTTACATACACATCTTTCGAAGGTGATATCACCTCTCTGGTGGGTTCAATCCCTATTCCTATTGCCTGGTTTAACCTCAAACTAACCTCATAGTCGATCATTTCTGGTCTCGAACCATGGGACATGGGACCCTTTGTGTGGCCTTGACTTGATCCCTTGATCCATCACAGTTTGGCCCACAAAAATCGCTTCAGGGAGACCAGGGTGACGTGACTTGTGAGTCGAAAATCCACCAAACATGTGGAACAAATGAATACATTGGCCTAAATATGTGTTGCTCCGTTTTTGGGAACCTTAAGAGAATCGAAAAATGGTGCCACCCTTGAAACTGGTGATTTTCCCACAGAACCATGGGACAAATTTTATACCACTAGGAGTCGATGCCCCCGAAAGAACGGAAATCTGAATGAACCCTGGAATTTTGCAATATTTCAATCGATTTTCATTCAATCAGAGATTTCAATTCATTTTATATGAATGGAAATCCCAGATGTATTTCAATCGTAGAAACCAAATCTGTTTTTTTCACATCTCCAACCACTCTAAGTCCGATGTTTGGGCAGGAAATCATGGCAGATAATAGAAACAAATCACCAAACCATCATAAATTTCCATGAAATCACCATTTAATCCATCATGAAATCACCAAATCTGATGAAATCACCATGAAATCCCATGAAATCACCATGGAATCCAGTGAAATCACCCTTAAATCCCATGAAATCACCATGAAATCCCATGAAATCACCATTAAATCCCATGAAATCACCATTTAATCCATCATGAAATCATCAAATCTGATGAAATCACCATTAAATCCCATGAAATCATCATTTAATCCATCATGAAATCATCAAATCCCATGAAATCACCATGGAATCCCATGAAATCACCATGGAATCCCCCATGGTGAAATCACCCTTAAATCCCATGAAATCATCATTTAATCCATCATGAAATCATCAAATCCCATGAAATCACCATGGAATCCCATGAAATCACCATGGAATCCCGTGAAATCACCCTTAAATCCCATGAAATCATCATGAAATCCATCATGAAATCACCACAAATAAACTCCCAGAAACATTCGATAAACCCTCTGCCAGAAGCCTCTGCTTTTCGCCGAGCGAAAACGAACAAACTGCCGCCAGATCTGCTGTGTGCGCAGCTCGGACGCGGGCGCCGGAGGAGACGCCTTGATCTTCGTGGCTCGGTGAAAACTCAGTGGTGGTGACTTTTGGATCTTTCAATAGGAAAACCATAGGAAAACCATAGGAAAACCAGATGGTATCATATATCAATAATTATCATATATCAATATATATATCATCAATTTATAGATATTATCAGATTATCATCTATCAAGATCTTTGGGAGCTTCCAACTGGTGGGTTTAGTTCAAAAATCGATGGGATTTCGAATGGGATTTTGAATGGAATTTATTGGGATTAGACGTATTAAAATTCATGAGATTCATGTGGGCAAATGAGTGTAATCCACAAGCAGGGTGGTGGAGCAATTGGGGACTATTGGATGATACATCCTCTTATTGTCATTGATCGATGGGGAAACTGATGTTTTAAAACCATGGGATTTTAAGGTATTCAGACGGACTCAGGTCCGGGAAAATGGAGGTTTCCTGAAATGGGGGTACCCATAGTTCTCATCCATTTGAATAGGATTTCCCATTATAAACCAACAATTTTGGGGATCCCCCATTGTAGGAAAGCCCCACATATGACCAGCAGTTACGAAAAAGAAAAGGCCGGACATTGGTGAAATTACTGAGACGCATCCGCAACCTGAGTGATCCCCTAGTCTGATACCATTGAACATTAGGATCCGGTTTTTTCAATGGCCATGCAACAGGAATCGATAAACATTGGAGGTACCTACCATATATAAGGCCTCTTTTTTAGGCCTAAATTTCAGGGAATATCCCCACAAAATATGGCCAAACATATGGTACCAACGTACCTCCATGTATTGGATCCTGGAGATCTCCCATTGAAAAATCTCAGATGGTCCTTGTGGTGTTTGATATCGTTACCTGAGTCGCGTTGACGTTGGGGCACATTTTCGCAGGTATTTTCTACACATAGATGTCCTTTTCCCATTGGTTGGTTGATTAAGAGAGGGGTTTGTTTACCCCTTTACTGTAACAACAGCTAAATGATGATAGATGGTAGCTCCCGGCCCCTCTATTTTTACCAAAAGGACATTATTGCTTCCATGTTTTGACACGATTGCCTTTGACGAGGATTTGCAAAAAAATGGTGCTCTTGGTTAACTTATCTTGCAGATTTGAAACATGTCCACTAGAGGCTCTGTTCCAGCATGTTCCAGCCTGTGTAAATTGCAAGTGGCGTTTGGCGAGTTGGCATGGAAGGATATGGTTTTTCCTTGAATTTGGAGGGGAACAACCACCACAGGAACAAGAACAGGATTAATAATATCAATTAGATCTTTAACAATGAAACAATACAATCCTGAGCTTTAGGTTTCAAGCCATGCTCCTGTTTGATGTCCTTAAAGTACCATATTTTCCCTGTCTCCGTCCAAGCCAATTGGCTCTGGAGGTATCCCATGGGCCGATAGAGTGGACATCTCCGAGCATCATTTTTTGGGCTTGTTGTATTCAGATAGACCCTTTGAAGCCACAATTGAAAGCCACAATGTGGCCACTTTGGATATGCAAATTCTGTTTCTTTGCAAACGCTCATTTTCCATATTTCTATATTATACAATAGTACATGTATGCACACACACAATCACATATATATATAGTCGGTTTCCAAAGTGAATCATCACAACTTTTCCGGTGGATGGGCCGTGGCTAATCGCCGGCATCTCCATGACGGTCGTTCCGTCGGTGGATGGGCCGTTGCGGCCGTTGCGGCCGTTGCGCGACAGCGGATGGAGGCGGCAACGGAGGGTTTTTCAGAGGGTTTTTCTTGGGGATTTGACCAGCCAAGATGAACGGTTTAAAGCCAAGAAAGTATGGGATACCCTCTGGTAATGACTAACATAACTATGGAAAATCACCATTTTTCATGGGAAAATTCACTATAAATGGTGATTTTCAATAGCTATGTTAAATTACCAGAGAGTATATAGATGGATATAGATGGATAATAGATGGATATATATATATATACATACGTAGTTTGCTTTACAACTAGAATATCTAAGATTTATGGTGGACGTATCATAGTTAGATGATACAGGTTTTAACAAACTTATACCCGGGCGGCTTACTGCAATGTTGTAAATGTTGTAAGCCAAATTGAGTAAGCCTGATCATGAAGCGAATCCATGTTACGTTCTGTGTCCACTTTGTAGGAGCTGAAATGGGATGATCGCTGTTTGGTCACTACAACAATAAACGTGAGTAAAATTGATGTATGACTGGCATTTGATGAATTGAGCTTGTCAAAATGAATGCTGTAGATTGGCTCAAACTTGCCTTGCAGGCAATAATGATTGACTTTATTGGTAGTGTGGAACATGAATTTTATTTTTCCATCTATTGGGAATTTCATCATCCCAACTGACGAAATCATATTTTTCAGAGGGATGGCTCAACCACCAACCAGTTGACTTTATTGGGTTGGTCAGCAAAGTGAGCCTAATAACTAACCCCTTTTTTTTGCCCTCTGAAGCCCATCCCATTACAAGACGACTGAGATAGAAAAAGTCACCATGCAACCGAGAAAAGGATGTTTTTGGCACGTTAGGTTCACTAACTGCAGTTCTGCCGTGTGTCTTCCACTTTTGGTGCTTGGTAGGTTTTAAAAGTTTCTAGCCAGTTTGGAATGACAGACTGAAACACTGGCAACTGTGACTATAAGTGACTTACTAAGTACTACTGTCGTAAGGACATTTAAAGATACTTTGGTCACTTTATCCAAGTCCCTGCGAGTCCCCCTGGGCTGAAGCATCAAGCAGTCTGCTGCTCTGATGGGAGTTTTTGCTGGCAGCAGCCATTTGCAGGGAGTCCGACAACACGAAATCTCACCACTTATGCATGATTTCAAAAGCATAACAGTAACAAAGCCAAAATATCCAACATCGTTTGGTCTCAAATCATGATTTGCTTCATAACCATGACACCAACTTTCTCCACGTTTTGAACATGTGTTTCCATGTATTTGATTTTAGGCTATAGGATTCTATATTATGGAAACTCCAGGTGGGCTTGTCTGAACATAGGCTTAAATATTGATGTACCCTCTGGTAATTTAACATAGCTATGGAAAATCACCATTTTTAATTGGAAAATCCACTATAAATGGTCATTTTCAATAGCTATGTTAAATTACCAGAGGGTAATTGGAATTTAATTAATGGGATTTAATTGGAATTTAATGGGATCTAATTTGGGATTATAATCCACTTAATGGAATATACCCTCTGGTAATGACTAACAGTTTGCGAACTGGAAGATGGGTGATTTAGTTCGTTGGTGTACCGTAATATAACATGGTTATTTTCCAGTTCGCTATGGCAGTTTACCAGGGGAGAACCAGAGTTCAACCCTGGACGCCCAGGCTGTCACGGGAAAGCGTGGAACGAGTGGAACGCGTGGAAGTGGCGGGAGGCGCAAGGTCAGCTGAGTGTCTTGAGATCCTGGGACAATGTGGATTCAGTTGATGATTGTAGTATATATATTATATAATTATAGTATATAATACATAATTATATATATAATTATATATATATATTTATAGATATATAATTAGATTCAAATGGAATTTAAGCATCAACTGTTTTTTTTTAAAGGTTTCACCATGGTCAGTTTGTTGTTGGGAGTTGTACTGAAGTAATTTATTGGGGATTATGTTAGCCCACAACCAGTGGGATGTTGGCATTTTTTATTGCTCACTTTGTGGTTCGTCAAGATGCAACCAGCCAAATGGTGAGCCACACATGATGATGTCCCCCAGTGATGTGAACGTTGGTTTATAAACCCCACTACGATAGTTACCCTCTGGTAAACGTTTACATAACTATGGAAAATCACCATGCTATCAATGGGTAAATCCACCATTTCTATGGCCATGGCTTCAATAGCAAACTGTTAGTCATTACCAGAGGGTATATTCCATTAAGTGGATTATAATCCCATTAAAACCCATTAAATCCCATTAAATCCCATTACCAGAGGGTATCCCACTACAAATCCCCCCTGTAAACCCCACTACGATAGTTATCTAGTTCGTTATATTTACCATAAACCAGGGAATTCAGCCACTGATATGCTTGTCATGATGACGTCCTGAAAAAGGTCATGAGGTTTTAACGGAATAGCCTAAATGGTGATACAATAGCAGCTATTGAAAATGACCATAGAAATACCCTCTGGTAAACTAACATAACCATAGAAAATCACCATTTTTAATGGGAAAACTCACTATAAATGGCAATTTTCCATAGCTATGTTAGTTTACCAGAGGGTATGAGGTAAAACTTGGCACTGCTTACAAGCAGCATTATTACCCAATAGGGCTGACATGGAGACACATTGCGGAGGCGTGTTTAAATGGTACACCCGATTTTCAGCCACACACATGACCAGGGAAGAATGCTACAGCATCTAAATCTAAAGCAGCAATCGCAATTGTTGGAAGGAATATATGGGAGGAGGTGGTACGCGGTTTTAATCAATGGAGAAATGACAACCCAATATAGAGATCGGATATCATTCGACCCGCCTAAAGATATGACTGACGCTCCTTCAGGGGTTCATCAACAATTTTCAGGGCTACCCTCAGCACAGAATGTGCTGTACATAGTGGTGTTTGGTATCTTCTATTCCCGCGAAATGATTGCTTACACGCCTCATTTTTTCCCACCGCAAAATCCTTGACACCCTTGGAACTTGTATAAATGATAAATTTGTGTTCCAATGTTTTGTTCAAGTGTATATGCTTTAGCTACTTGTCATGGTCATCTTGGATTTCCTTTCAGTTTCAGAAACCTCTTTATTGATTGTTGCCCAAGATCTCTGGGATCATAAGCCATTCACTCGGGGGGTTTTCCAATAGATTGGGGGAAGGTGCTCCATTATGATCCAACAAGACACCAACATGAAAAAATGACCTACAAATCCAATGCTGCAATGGTGTATCACCATTTTCGCGAATTCCCCCATATTTCTCCCACATTCTCGCCATTTTGTCGCAACATTTTCCATGTCTCACCTAAGGACAGAGGAGCCAAGAAGCAAGTCTTATTGCAATCAATCGCGCGCTTAGCTATATTACCAAGACGCTCGGCGAAAAGTAGCCAGAAGGCCCTGCAAAAGTCACATCTATGGGCCATTGCCCTCGCAGAAATATTGGGGTGATAATGGGAATATTGGAGATGTAATGGTGATTTGGCCTGAAATTTGCAATTGGTTTTCCCACATCATTGGGAACATAATGGGGATATATTCTAATGGGAAAATCATGGAACATCATCTTTAAATGGAGACAAACATGTAACTATATATTATATATATAGTACTGTATAATTATATAATTATGTATATTACATTATATACATGGTCTATATATGTCCCATGGTCACAAGAATAAACAGCCATAAATGGTGAAATATCTTGATTGTCCCAATTCACCCCACCTGAAAATTCATATTGTAAGTGTCAACCAGACATAGTGACATGGTCGAGGAGATGTCCCTGTAGAGTTCCCGTCCGAGTCCTAGATTTTCCCACAGGGCCCCCAAGTATGTTTGTTTACTCCATCCAATTATCGATATATCCACCATAAATCCAATCCCTAGGCCCTAGTCTAGTGAAATACTCCAACTTAACCTCTCATAAATCACAAAAATCCAATTTTTGCTGGTTTTCGCTCAAGTTTTCGCTCAAGTTTTCGCTCACTGTTGGTGAAATCCAGCGTGAAATCCAGGCTCCCGACCTGTGGCGAGACCTGGCGCCTCTCCACTGCCACGCTCAGCTCGCTGCGCAGCCGCGCGCTGCGGCCGGACGTGGTTTCGGAGACGATCTCTCTGACGGCATGCCATCGAGGTGACCTGGCTGCACCGTGGGGGATGTCTCTCCATGGTTTTTTTCTGAAATGGGACATCCCAAGGTTTTTTCCTGCTTGACCGCCACGAAATTATCCAAACTTGGGATTTCACGAATTGAATCATCTCTTTTCATTGATTTTCCGCTAGATTCTGAGTGATTTCAAGGAGAGCCAACCCCCAAACTTGACTCCAACTCTCATTTGCTGTCCGAAAAGTTCTAGAACATTCTATAACACCTTTATCTTAAGATGTTTTGATAATTATAATATAATATATATATATATATTTGGAGTCCAAGACTCCCAACTTTCACATCCATAAATCGCCCAACTTTCCCAGGCAGTGCCTGGTCCTTTGCCCTTCAACTGGGCTTCCTTTGCCGTCGCGACGCCCGCGGTGACGCCATCTACGCCTTGGAAGTCCTGCGTTCGACCTGGCAAACCTGGCGGCGAGCTGCAAAAGTGCTGGAGAGGATGGAGGCCCTAGTAGGACGGTTGGCCCCCATATTTCCATTAGTAATGGTTAATGGTTAAATTAATAGGACATATGGGTATATGATGGTATATGGTTATACAAAAATTTGTATTGGTTAATAGTAAATTTCCATTAGTACTAACTTAGCAATCCATTAGAACAACAAAGTAGAATAATCCATTAGTAGTCACTTATTATACCATTAAATGAGTACTTTAACCATTAACCATACTAATAATTATATATAATTATACCATTAGTAGTAAATTATGGGTATACGGGGGAAAACATGTTTGTACGGGGGAAAACATGTTTGTAATGGTTAATGGTTAAAGTACTAATTTAATTAGTAGTCACTTATTATACCATAAAGTTAAATTAGTACTTGAACCATTAACCATTACTAATAATTATACCATTAACCATTAGCAATCTATAACTGGAGTTCATTTATTACTAATATTGCCATCATATAAACTAGTACACAAAGGGACTCCAGTTGTAAGTAATCAATCTTATCACTGGATTATATGGGGTTTCCATCAATTTTGGGTACCCCAAGCTCGCTGGATGGTTCGTTTCTCCAGGAAAATCCGAAAATAACATGGATGACTTGGGTGTACCCTCTGGTAAACTAACATAACTATGGAAAATCACCATTTTTAATGGGTAAATCCACTATAAATGGCCATTTTCAATAGGTATGTTTGACATAACCAGAGGGTCCCCCCGTTTTAGGACACCCCCCTTATGGACCTTCGAGTGCATGCGAGAGTTGAGTAAGATGGACCGGATTCCTATGAAATGGGATGGATGACCATGGGATTCCCATGCTAGCCATGTTTTGACCATGGCACTAATATGGCTTTGCATGGGATCTATAGTGGGTATACTGGGAATCTAGTGGAACTCCGTCTGAGGATGATGATATGAACAAACCTCCAGTTGATGAATACGTCGATGCCAATTTTCACAGTGATTTAGAACACCATTTTTTTGGGGTAGCCTCTGGTTATTTTTAACGTGGCTGGCAAATCCCCTATAAATGGAGTATGCACCATATATTGGTAAGTCCACCATTCTCGAACAAACCCAAATCTCATTTTTTCTTTTAATTATCCCAGGATATGTCATGAAATAGCCGCAGCAAAAATCGGAAATGTCCCTGTAAAATCTAGGTTAATCTTATAGATTAACATTGGAATATCCTATATGTATAATTTATGTGATCCCAGGATGTTTACCCTCTGGTAATCTAAAGGGCTGCCGCCCCCTGCCGCCGACCCCTGGTAGCGTGTGGGGTGCAGAGTGAGGAGCGTGGAGTGTAAAGTGCGGAGTGTGGAGTGTGCAGTGGGTAAAGCGTAGAGTGTAGAGTGGAAAGTGTGGAGGATTAAGTGTGGAGTGTAGAGGGTGAGTGTGAAGAGTGTCAAGTGTAGAGTGTAGACTGTGGTTTTATGCCTGGGGCTTTATCCAACCATGACGGTGATCCCCCGATGGTGGAGCGAAGATAGCCATCTATTCCAGTCGCCACCAAGCATCAACTATATATATCAATGAGAGACCATCCATGGGTTACATTTGTTTAATGGGTTATGGTTAATGATGGTTATTGCTTGTTGATGGTGAATAATGATCAATAATTAACGCCTCCTCGGCTCCAATCGCTCGCAACAGCGGATGCTGCGATACCTGTCGTGTAGAGCTCCCTCTTTGAGACGTTCGAAGTTTGGAGGCTCAAAATGGTTTCCAGGTGAGCTGGATCCAATTGGAACATGGGGGAATCTTTGGATAGAAAAAAAAAGGCGGAACCTCAAGAGGAACGGAACCTGAGTTTTGGGGATGAATCATGAACATACGCAGAAAGATGGCAAATGGCCGTCAACTTGGTTCACTTGGTCCAAAATGTCGGTCCATCCTAGTCCCTATCTCGGCGGTGACAGTTCTTCCCTAAATCCCACTTAGTTGTAAGTGCGGTTTCGGAGAACTTAGACAAATCATAGCCATAGTCATTAATATGCCTTATATTCCAACTTGTGCGTTCTGGCCAAGTAAATCACCGCAGGCATTGTGGTAACCGATTTCAGGTCAAAGATGGATGCGTCGTGACAAAGAAGATGGCGTACCAGTGCCCGTTTTGCGATGGCAAAGTGAGCAGCAACGTGGTGTCTGGGCAAATCAACCATCGCGGCGTGTGCGGCAGCCAGTTCTATGTAAAGAAAGGCAAAGTCAGCGACGCAACGCGAAAACATATGCACACATGCCCGCGGTGCCAAGCAGCCGTGTGGTCAGCCAGCGCGTCGGGGCGAATCCGCGTGCAGCACAACACACCAGCGGGACGCCCGTGCACACAGAAGAGCTGGCAGAGCGAGGAAACGAAAGAAGCATAGGCTATAGGACATGCTGCTGGGCCGCCAAGGGCGCCGGGAAGGGTTTAAGGCCAGCCTACTGCCTAACGTTGCTTTCTGAAACCCGAAGAAAATCTCCAGCAAAGCGCCCGGCAGGTGGCCAAAGGACATGCTGCTGGGCCGCCAAGGGCGCAGGGAAGGGTTTAAGGGCAGCTTCGGGCGCCGGGAAGGGTTTAAGGCCAGCCTACTGCCAGGAAGGGTTTAAGGGCAGCTTAGGGCGCCGAGAAGCGTTTAAGGCCAGTAGGGCAGCTTAGGGCGCCGGGAAGCCTTTAAGGCCAGCCTACTGCCTAACGTTGCTTTCTGAAACCAGAAGAAAATCTCCAGGAAAGCGCCCGGCAGGTGGCCAAAGGACATGCTGCTGGGCCGCCAAGGGCGCAGGGAAGGGTTTAAGGGCAGCTTAGGGCGCCGGGAAGCCTTTAAGGCCAGCCTACTGCCTAACGTTGCTTTCTGAAACCAGAAGAAAATCTCCAGGAAAGCGCCCGGCAGGTGGCCAAAGGACATGCTGCTAGGCCGCCACGGGCACCGGGAAGGGTTTAAGGGCAGCTTAGGGCGCCGGGAAGGGTTTAAGGCCAGACTACTGCCTAACGTTGCTTTCTGAAACCAGAAGAAAATCTCCAGGAAAGCGCCCGGCAGGTGGCCAAAGGACATGCTGCTGGGCCGCCAAGGGCACCGGGAAGGGTTTAAGGGCAGCTCAGGGCGCCGGGAAGGGTTTAAGGCCAGCCTACTGCCTAACGTTGCTTTCTGAAACCAGAAGAAAATCTCCAGGAAAGCGCCCGGCAGGTGGCCAAAGGACATGCTGCTTTCTGAAACCAGAAGAAAATCTCCAGGAAAGCGCCCGGCAGGTGGCCAAAGGACATGCTACTGGGCCACCAAGGGCGCAGGGAAGGGTTTAAGGGCAGCTTCGGGCGCCGGGAAGGGTTTAAGGCCAGCCTACTGCCAGGAAGGGTTTAAGGGCAGCTTAGCTTAGGGCGCCGGGACGAGTTTAAGGCCAGCCCTACTGCCTAACGTTGCTTTCTGAAACCAGAAGAAAAACATCTCCAGGAAAGCGCCCGGCAGGTTGGCCAAAGGACATGCTGCTGGGCCGCCAAAGGGCGCCGGGAACGGTTTTAAGGGCAGTTGGGCCAGGGAAGCCTTTAGGCCAGCCTACTGCCTAACGTTGCTTTCTGAAACCAGAAGAAAATCTCCAGGAAAGCGCCCGGCAGGTGGCCAAAGGACATGCTACTGGGCCGCCAAGGGCGCAGGGAAGGGTTTAAGGGCAGCTTAGGGCGCCGGGAAGCCTTTAAGGCCAGCCTACTGCCTAACGTTGCTTTCTGAAACCCGAAGAAAATCTCCAGCAAAGCGCCCGGC